AGGGTGGGTTATAAGTCACGGGAACAGGGTAATGGTTACGGTATATGGAGATGGGTGAAACCCATGTGAGRGGAGGCCTCATAAGTGGGCCCATTACTCTCCCCAAAAGAGACACCGAGCTTTTAATCAAACCTTCACGTTCCTCGGAAGAAGGACACCAGGTTAGAAACACTGTGTTCTAAGCTTCTCGGGATCCATAAAAGGTTCTCCAAGAATTCTTTCCCTTCAACTACTCAGGACCAAGCATTGGCCCCGATAGTGCAAAGAGGTCTCTAATTCAATGCCACAGGCATCTCACAGACCATTTTCATGGAGTCCCATCACCATTTTATGGTGGTTGAGCAAGTTGTGTCCAGTTAGGACTCCAACCAAAGTAATTAAAGTTTTCTTTGTCAGGGTAAGAAGGGCTCTTCCAAACCAAGGATTTGGGCCATTTATCAGTTCTTGTGCCTGTCTGCAATCCATCAGCTCCCTCCAGCGGATTGAGTGTTGACATCTGATCCACGCCTGTAGGACAGTCCTACAGAGTGTAGTTGAAATGCCTATAGCAGGCTCTGGTCCTTTAAAGTGGGCTTGACTGCCAGCTCTTGCAAGGTAGTCAGCTCTCTCGTTACCATGCCAGTATGTCCTGGTACCCATTTAATAGTAACACTGTTAWCTCTCCCCAGTTGGTTGACTGCCTCGGCACACTCCCAAGCCAGTAGTGACGTAAAGTGTGGCCTTTGGAGAGCTCTAAAAGCAGCTTGGCTATCTGACAAGATGAATATTTCCTTCTGCATAGACGGAAGTTCTTTGAGAGATGCCGCACATTGGTGGATTGCATATATCTCAGCTTGAAATACCTTTACAAAACCACCTAGTGGGTAACTGCACTCTCTCTCTCACTGTGGTTGTGCAGAATCAGCACCCCTGCACCTACTGACCACTTTATAAGGGATCCATCTTTAAAACAGTAGAAACAATCAGGAGACAGGTCCACCATAGAGAAATTACTCCAYGCTGACATATCTTTAATCTCTGTCTTAAAACTTGGCTCAAAATTGTCTCCAGGTCCTACAGTTACTGGTTCAGCAGCAACTGCTCAGTCCCAGATTCTAATGTGCTGGGAGTTAGATAGGCTTTTCCACCTACCAGACTGGTGTAACCTTACCACGCTGGATGCAGCCTCCCCTAAGATGTGTAAATCCAGTGGTCAGATCCAGTAGGACTTCAAGGGCTGCCGTGGGTGTCGTTCTAATGGAACCTGTGATGCTCAGGCAAGCCGTTCGTTGCACATGGGTGAGCATCACTCTCYCCACCCCAACTTGAACTCGAACCCACCACACTAAAGCAGCATAGCATGGGGTGGACTATGGCCGTGTAGATACATCTGATAACCTTTGGGGTAGCARCCCAACGACTACCTGCAATTCTATATGGCACTGGTGTAGGCACATTGCTGCCTTCTTGCACTTTTCTTTGTGTCTTTTCCAGTTAAGATTCCTGTCTAGATAGACACCCAAGAACTTAACTGATTTTGACAGGGAGAGTTATACACCCTCCAAATTTGGAGGTGAGTACTCCTTCCTTGACTGTTTTGAGTGCAAAGAACCAATTCTGTCTTGTTTTGGTTGACATAAAGTCCCTGCTTGTGGCGCCATCTGGATAATATGTTTAGTCCCCTTTGCATTAGGTTACATACAGCACCCAGGCAGAAGCCTTCTATAAGTATGACCAAGTCATCTGCATATCCTTGTGTGTGATGTCTAGATCTATTCAACTCACTTAGTAGGCTGTCCACAACCAGGAACCCGCACAGGGGTGAGATTAATCCTCTTTGTGGACAGCCCCATCTGAGATTAACAGTTATTGAGCAGTCCCCCAGAGTTGAAGATGCTTTCCTTGTCCGAAGCATGAAAACGAGCCATTTTGTYGTTGTCTCATCCACACCTTTGCTGGCAAGTGCTCTCTCAARAGCTTCTATAGGAACATTGTCAAATGCCCCCTATATATCCAAAAAGCAGCCAAGTGCATATTGTCCACGTGCCAGACTGTGTTCTATTCGCAAAACATCATGTAAGGCTGCTTCTGTAGAAAAACCTGCCTGATATACATGTTGTTTAGGACTTAATGGTGATAACATGAAGGTGCATATATTCTAGTTATTAACAGGGTAAAGAGTCACAAATTCTGAAATGCTTCCCCCCCGTCCTACAGATCTATGGAGAGGTTGCCAGTATCAATAAAAGTTTTAGTAAGTAAGGAAGTAAGGAAGTAAGGAAGGTTTTATTTATAAAGTGCCTTTCACAGAAATATATTCACAAGGTGCTGTACAATCACTAACAATCTAAAAATGGTGGAGAGATAAAATGAAACAATAAAACATAATAAAACATAAGCAATGTAATGAATCATCAAATCAAGTTTAAATTATAAAATTGTAACTCAGACACATGGCCAATGCAGAGCAAAATATACAATAATACAAAGAACATAGAGAAAGGGGAGAGAAAAATATGCCGTTATTTCAATAATAGAAAAACACATAGTTGGCGAGCATTTACTATGGAGGTAGGCTGGTATTAATGGTGAATGGTTAGCTAAACGCTTGAGTAAAAAAGTGGGGTTTTAAGTGATTCTTGAAGGAGGCAATGTTGTCAAGGGAGCGCAGATTAACAGGGAGGTAATTCCAGAGCCTAGGGGCCACAGAGGAGAAGGCACGGTCACCATGGGTCTTAAAGCGAGTCAGGCGAGCCATAAGGAGATTTTGATCCTGTGAGCGGACATCTCGTCTGGGTTTGTAAGGGGAAATGAGACTTTTAATGTATTCTGGGGCTTGGCCATGAAGAGCTCTGAAAGTGAGGACCAGGATTTTGAACCGGATTCTGAACTGAACAGCAAGCCAATGAAGTTCTGGTAGGATCAGGGCAGGGCTCTAGAGTGCGACCAACATGGTTGCAAATGCGACCAGATTTCCTAATAGTGCGACTAAAAAAAATGTCCGGTCGCACTGGTGCAACTGAGGGGGAGGGGGAGCTGTCGCCCGCTGAAACTAAAAGTTTTCATCATGTTCCATAAAAATAATCTAGCAGTGGTCGCCCACCAACAGTCTCATCTCTCCTAATAACACTGAGCTCCGCTCCACACCTCTCGCGCACACACGTTTGTTCTATCCTCATGGGGACTTTGCATTGGCTTCCATTCATTTCCCCGTCAATTCTATAGCCAACCATAACCTCCCAGGTAGGCTACACACCTGACCCAAACCCTAACCTCACCTGGCTTTGGGTACTGGGGAAATGGTCAATAATTGTACCCACTACGAAGCAAAAATCTGTACAAACACACACACGCATGCGCGCACCCGCATAACGAAACAACCGTAGGGTTTTTTTTTAACCCAGATCGGAGTGTGAAAAACAGTTCTTTCTTGTTAGCTGGAGATGAAAATAAGATGTAGACGGTTGCTCGCTCATTCATCTTGTTAATTTGACAGTCGGGGTCTGAGCGCTGCAGATCATTTCAGCAGGACAAGGAAGCTCACCAGTATGGCAGGCCACTTTTGCACTTAATCTACTTCACCACAGTTACATACATTCCAAGTATTTGAAATTGGTTCTTCTGTGTCTCAGAAGGATAAAAGTAGACATAGTAGATATTTAAGTGAAATAATATAAGATAATAAGATTCAACTAATGATGAAATTGCAGACTTTTATATATTATTATTTTAAAAAATGTGCACAACCATTTAATAAATATCAGTAATATTTCTGTTATTAATCTTTATTCTCTGTTCATCATTCTGGTTTATCCAAGGCCAAAGATCCATAGTTGTCCATCTAAGGGGCTTCTGTCTAAAAAAAATTTAACCATGAAATGTTTAATATGTTTATAAGACATTCAGCCCTTAAATGATTAGAATTTTATAGAATCACTTTTAATACTTTTCAGTAAGTTAAATGTCTACAATTCTGGTTCAAATAAAGAACTTCATGTTTACTAGACTGTTAACTAATTATTTTGGAGTTAATGTTGCCTTAATGAACAGTGATTTAAAAAATAACCTGTAAAACTCTCATGTTAGGCGACGTGGTTGAAAATTTGGGTGCACCTAACTTTTGTGCTGGTGCGCCTAAGAAAAAGTGTTAGGCGCACCAATGCAACCAGTGCAAAAAGTTAGTCTAGAGCCCTGCAGGGAGATGTGGGTGAATTTGGAGGTTCAAGTTAGGAGTCTTGTTGATGAGTTTTGGACAAGCTGAAGGCGATTTAACTGTTTCTGCTTTAGGCAGGTGAACATGCTATTATAATAGTCTAAGGGGGTAGAAATGAAGGCATGAATTACCATTTCCAAGTGGGAAGCAGGGGCCGGAGTTTAGAGATGTTACGAAGCTGAAATTAGCACATGGAAACCAGATTCTTTATGTGTTTATCTAGAGACAGATCTGAGTCAAGATTTACTCCCAGGTTGTGCACATTCTGCTGGACAGTTGAACTCAAGGAGCTCAAGTTTTAGTCACCTGCTGGATGACTTGTGACTCCTTAGGGGAGAAATCCTCTGGGAGGCAGGGGCCTGCTGGGTCCAGATCTGGTTTGATCTTTCTGAGAATATCTGGTGGTGATGTGGACCAAAAATGCAGGCAGAGGCAGTCTCGAGATAAAAAGACTATTAAAGAAAAAAAGCCAATGTGGTGGCAAAAAACTATAAAAACAAGAAATCCTGGCATGAACACAGGAGCAGGACATGAGGCAGAACCACACAATGATCGGACAAGGAAATGGAGGAAGTGAGCCAGTAAAGTAGTGACAGGGTTGAGTGAAAAGTGGAAACAGACTGAGGAACAAGATGAGCATGAGAAACACAAGACAGAGCACAAGAAACCAAATCCTCACACCTACAACCACCACTTGATCAGGTGGGGGTCAGGAGGACCTTTCCGCCACACCAAACATGAGTGGGGTCATATGGACCCCACAAACACAGTGGGAGGGTTAAAAACATCTCACATTATCTGTACTTACATAGCTTTGTTGGAGGCTTTGACCACTGGTAGCAGTCTCAGAAGAACCTCCTCTGAAGAAGAATATTTCTTCAGATCAAACACATCCAGATCTTTCCCTGAAGACAGTAGGATAAAGACCAGAGCTGACCACTGAGCAGGAGATAGTTTATCTGTGGAGAGGCTTCCTGAACTCAGAGACTGTTGGATCTCCTCCACTAGAGAACCATCATTCAGTTCATTCAGACAGTGGAACAGATTGATGCTTTTCTCTGCAGACAGATTCTCACTGATCTTCATCTTGATGTACTGGACTGTTCTCTGATTGGTCTGTGAGATACTTCCTGTCTGTGTCAGCAGGTCCTGTAGGAGAGTCTGATTGGTCTGCAGTGAAAGACCCAGGAGGAACCGGAGGAACAAGTCCAGGTGTCCATTTGGACTCTCTAATGCCTTGTGTACAGCACTCTGATGGAGATACTTTAGTTTTGATTTCTTATTAAAAATAGACCTCTTTGTGTTTGTTTGATTTTTGTCCATCAGGTTGAGTCCACAGTTGATGAAGGTCAGGTGGACATGAAGAGCAGCCAGAAACTCCTGAACACTCAGATGGATGAAGCAGAACACCTGGTTCTGGTACAGTCCTCTCTCCTCTTTAAAGATCTGGGTGAACACTCCTGAGTACACTGAGGCTGCTGTCATATCGATGCCACACTCTGTCAGGTCTGACTCATAGAAGATCAGGTTTCCTTTCTGCAGCTGATCAAAAGCCAGTTTTCCCAGAGACTCAATCATCTTCCTGCTCTCTGGACTCCAGTCTGGATCAGTCTCAGCTCCTCCATCATACCTGACCTTCTTGATTTTGATGTGAACCAGCAGGAAGTGGATGTACATCTCAGTCAGGGTGCTGGGCAGCTTTTCTCCCTCTCTGCTCTTCAACAAATGGTCCAGAACTGTAGCAGTGATCCAGCAGAAGACTGGGATGTGGCACATGATGTGGAGGCTTCGTGAGGTCTTGATGTGGGAGATGATCCTGCTGGTCTGCTCCTCATCTCTGAACCTCTTCCTGAAGTACTCCTCCTTCTGTGGGTCAGTGAAGCCTCTGACCTCTGTCACCATGTGGACACAGTCAGCAGGGATCTGATTGGCTGCTGCAGGTCGTGTGGTTATCCAGAGGCGAGCAGAGGGAAGCAGGTTCCCCCTGATGAGGTTTGTCAGCAGAACATCCACTGAGGTGGACTCTTTGACATCAGTCAGGACCTGGTTCCTGTGGAAGTCCAGAGGAAGTCGACTCTCATCCAGACCATCAAAGATGAAGAGCAGCTGGAAGTCTTCAAAGCTGCACATTTCTTTGGTTTCAGAGAAGAAGTGATGAAGYAGTTCCACCAAGCTGAACTTTGTCTCTTTCAGCACATTTAGCTCTCTGAAGGTGAATGGAAACAGGAAGTGGATGTCCTGGTTGGTTCTGTCTTCAGCCCAGTCCAGAGTGAACTTCTGTGTTAAGACTGTTTTCCCAATGCCAGCCACTCCCTTTGTCAGGACTGTTCTGARTGGTTGATGTCTTCCAGGTGGGAGTTTAAAGATGTCTTCCTGTCTGATGGTTGTTTCTGGTCTGTGTGGTTTCCTGGATGCTGTTTCAATCTGTCTGARCTCATGTTGATCATTGAGCTCTGCAGTCCCTCCCTCTGTGATGTAGAGCTCTGTGTAGATCTGATTCAGAAGGGTTGGGTTTCCTGCTTTAGCAATCCCCTCAAACACACACTGGGACTTCTGCTTCAGATGAGATTTAAGGTGACATTGACAAACTGGGGCAATGAATCCTGTAATAAAACAAAAAAAAATGAAATTAGTACTTAAGTATCATTGTTTTGTTTATCCATAAGGAACTGCTTCATGTCTCCATCAGGTTAAATGTTTGTATAAATCCTCTTACTCCTCAGCAGATGGTCAGCCAGCTCCTCCTGCTTCATCCCCCTCAGGAAGTAAACTGTGATCTTCATCAATGCCTCTCTGCTCTTTCTTTCCATTTCATCCTCACCCACAAACACCTCCTTATCCACCCTATGGCTCTCTGAGCATTCTGGGTAATCTGGACTCAGAACCTTCTGGATCTTCTTCAGCTCCTTCTTCACAAAACAGATCATGTTGTCCTCCAGCAGCTGGAACAGAATAATATCTGAATGAGACGTCAGATCAATGCTGGACAGACATACAGGCCACTGGTTTATAGGATGGACCGGCAGACAAACATCTAATATACAGGTCCTTCTCAAAAAATTAGCATATTGTGATAAAGTTCATTATTTTCTGTAATTTACTGATAAACATTAAACTTTAATATACTGTATTTTAGATTCATTGCACACTAACTGAAGTAGTTCAAGCCTTTTATTGTTTTAATATTGATGATTTTGGCAAAAAGTAAAGAAAAATCAAAAATCCCTGTCATGGCAATATTTATTTAACAAAGACAGAACTACGTGGTCCAAGAATGAAGGTAATCCATGGGATGATCAGCTGAGTTTTATTG